GATGAAGACTAAATCGGATGTCTTTTTTCCTGGGAAGAAATTATTTTTTGCTATCAGCTGCTTTTTGTATTGCCTCATCTAAGACCTTCCCAAATAGAAATTCTCCTTGAATATAGGAAGAGAACATAAAGAGGACTTAGATGCATAATCTGCTTCCCAGGTGTGGAGCCACAGATAAGGCCATGCTTCTTGCTAATATCCTTGTAATATCCAGGGAGGCTTCTGAAAAGAAATTCTGAAGTCTTTAAGATTTTTTAATGAGGATTTCCCTTCTTACTCCACTGGAAATGTCATCTTCCATATTATCTATCCACACCGTCAGGGATCTAGAAAAAGTGGTTAATGCAATAGAAGGATGGAGCGCTGATCCTAGGGCTAAATATTCCTTAATCCGGTCTGCATCGATTCTTTTCTCCATTGGTTCATGGAGATATGTGTCAGGGCTCTTACCTGAGATGGGAGTCTGTAGCGCAGCTATGTTTGCTCTCCCTTGCAAATAGACACAGTCCAAGGTGACCAGATAAGAAGCCACTGGACTGTGAATCTGTGCACGGGGGCTGTGCAGGAAAGGTGATTCCAATGAAATAGCAACAAGGACAAAAACAGCAGAATAGTCAAGGGATAGCCAAAGTCAAAGGATGCCAGGATTAACGAAGTGTAGCCGAAGTCAAGGAATGCAAGAGATCAACATAAACAAAGACAGAAGCTGGAGTCAATATGGAGTATAAGTTCAAGAGACTGGAACACAGGATCTGAGCATGTACAACAGGATCAAAGACTTGATAAAGTTCCCAGAGCGAGGCTGTGTTTATATACTCTGCTGATGACTCATCTGAGTCAGGTTAAGCACTTGCAATGACCACAGGCGACATCCAGCCTCCAGTGCTGCAGACATAGCCAGGAATAATAGGGCTAGAACTGTTGTTGAGCGTGTGTCGTATCTAGAATGTCCTTCTGGTATTTTTGATAGCACCTTTGGTGGTACGTTTCAGTATGTGTACCTAGTGGATTGTTGCTGACGGTGGAGTTTAGTCCACTGTTCCCTTACTCTTTGTGTTTCCTCCTAATTTTTAAGAAGAATCGGTCTGTCCACTGTTCTGGAGTCTTAATTACTGTGATATATTTCCTCCTCATCTTCTTCAGAGCCTACTGCTCAACTTGAGCTTAGTTCTGAAGAAATTGTCTGAAGTTTAGAATGTTTAGATGGACCCATGCTTTTAGCTATAGCCTTAAAGCCTTCTGCAATAGCTTGGGAAATCCAGACCTATAGCTCCTCTTGAGGAGATGTTCTTTTAGTATTTTCTTCAGCAACCTCAGTTAGACATTTGATACATAGGTTGTTGCCTTCTGGTGCTATCTGGTTACAGCCCACACATCGATTGCTCTTCTCCTTAAATTTCTGGGAGATCTGTCCCAGCTTCTGCTTGGGCTGCAACGAGAATAAAAGGCCAAATGTATATGGGCCCATTTTGCTCTCTTTTAATCCCCAATATATTTATAGTATGTTGGCTCACCTTGGGTTTCTAGATAATGAGTGTCTGGAGGCAGAAGTAGATGCCATACTATAGAGAGAAGAGAATATTTTTCTTTTTAGTTTTATTACAGGAAAGACACTCATTATACAGCATGATTGTACACCTATTAGATACTAACCTGAAAAACTGAAATCTATTCTCAGGCAGCCATAGAATTACTGCTTCAGTTCTAATGCATAAAAAAATGAATTGGCATGAACAGAAACAAAGAGACACAAATTGAAACGTATGCACCGTTAGCTAGAATTGACTAGACCAAAGAAATAAACCACACAAAATAAATAGAAATGAACGCATTCACTTTCGTGCATACAGGACGCCAACTCTTTTGCACCAATTTACACAAACTGCTATATAAATTCCCACAGCGAACAACTAGAGGAACATATTGAAAGGAGCACATGAATTGTCACGGCTTACCTTGGTTGGAGTCTGTAGCGCAGATATGTTCGCTCACCCTTGCAGATAAACACGGTTGAAGGTGACCAGGTAAGAAGCCACCTGAGCTGTGAATCTATGCACGGGTGCTGTGCAGGAAAGGTGCTCCAATACACAGTACAGACAAGGTCACAAGCAGAAGGATAGTCAGGGGTCAGGATAAACGGACAGTGGAGCCAAGGTCAATCTGGAGAACAAGTTCAGGAGACAAGAAAACAGAAACTACACACAATTACCAGAGTCAAAGAACTGACAAGGCTTATTTGGGTAGAGTCAGGGTGACAATACAGGTCCTTGAAGGTAAGCTTGTAATGTAAGAACATAGAATCGTTATACTCATGTAAGCCTCTCTGTTCCCTTGGTACCCGAGATCCGCGGGAACTTGGAGCAGGTTTTGGAGCAGCTTTCTTGGAAACAGAACACTGCGAGTATATCGGTCACTGATGACTCCCAGCTGTCCTTTTTGTAGTGTCTGGTATGCCCACTCCTTAATCCGCCCAGAAAGAAAATTAATAGCGGTACGGACATTGACAAAGTTGCTGTAATAGGTCCTGGACTTAAGGGCAAATAGGAGTTTGCAATCCATTTTGAATGCTGTGTAGGAGGAATGGGAACCATTGAATCTTTCAGGCATCATAATGAATGGCTCAGAATAAGCAGGTTCCGGGGCAGTGCATACTGTGCTTTTAAGAACACGCTGCAGCTCTGAAACAATCTGGGCCAGGCTGGATACTTGCTGAGCAAGTGAGGTGAGCAGTTTACACATCTCTGCGGACTTCATGATGGTCAGTTCTTTATGTCACGGCTTACTTTGGTTGGAATCTGTAGCGCAGATATGTTTACTCAGCCTTGCAGATAAACATGGTCCAAGGTGACCAGGTAAGAAGCCACCTGGACTGTGAATCTGTGCACGGGGGCTGTGCAGGAAAGGTGCTCCAATACGCTGTACAGACAATGTCACAAGCAGAAGGATGGTCAGGGGTAAGCCAAAGTCAGAGGAAGCCAGAGAGTCAGGATAAACGGACAGTGGAGCCAAGGTCAGAAGCTGGGGTCAATATGGAGAACAAGTTCAGGAGACAAGAAAACAGGAACTACACAAGATCACCAGAGTCACAGAACTGACATAATACCCAGGGTGAGGTAGTGCTTAAATTTCCAGTTGATGTGCGAGCTGCCTCAGGTGAAGCACATGTAATAGCCACAGTCCAGCCCCCAGTGCTGCAGACATAGCCAAGTGGAGAGTCAAAAATGGGTCGCAAGAGAATACTGAGAACGGGCAGCAGTTGAAATAGCATGCCCTTCGGTCGGTCCCCGCGCAGTTCTAAAGCTGATTTTTGCTCATCTTGTGCCATTACAGAGAGTACATATCTGAAGCATATCAGACTGGTCTCACCCATACGGGCAGTCCATTAGAGATACAGCAACCCCAGACGACCGTTTCAGCCTTGTTAGGCATCATCAGTGAGGCATAGCTGATATCTCCTTAGGCACCGTGAGCAAGGGGTCCACGTCTGGATTATCCCTTTAAACTTGTGGAGAGTCAAAAATGGGTTGCAAGAGAATACTGAGAACGGGCAGCAGCTGAAATAGCCTGCCCTTCGGTCGGTCCCCGCTCAGTTCTCAAGCTGATTTTTGCTCATCTTGTGCCATTACAGTGAGAACATATCTGAAGCATATCAGACTGGTCCCACACATACGGGCAGTCCAGATCCGAAATGCCAGCAAGTTCTCTCTGCACGAGAAATACAGCAACCCCAGATGATTGTTTCAGCCTTGTTAGGCATCATCAGTGAGGCATAGCTGATATCTCCTTAGGCACCGTGAGCAAGGGGTTCACGTCTGGATTATCCCTTTAAACTTGTGGAGAGTCAAAAATGGGTTGCAAGAGAATACTGAGAACGGGCAGCAGCTGAAATAGCCTGCCCTTCGGTCGGTCCCCGCTCAGTTCTCAAGCTGATTTTTGCTCATCTTGTGCCATTACAGAGAGAACATATCTGAAGCATATCAGACTGGTCCCATCCATACGGGCAGTCCAGATCCGAAATGCCAGCAAGTTCTCTCAAGTGTTACAATTACTCAAAACAATAGAATCGGCTGTGGCTTAGATGCAGTATAGCAGACCCAGGAGATGAAGGACCCAGGTTCAAATCCCCTGTCTGGCTGTCTGCAAGGTGAGAACAGTGACCTAAATTAGGTAAGAAATAGAGTTGAGCGGACACCTAGATGTTTGGGTCCGGCCGAACTTTGAAAAAAAGTCCGGGTTCGGGCTCGGACTTGACCCCGAACCCCATTGAAGTCAGGAACTTTTGGCCACAAAAATGCCTCTAAAAAAACTCCTGGAAAGGGCTAGAGAGCTGCAAAAGGAAGTAAAATGGGAGAAAGAGTAGGACAAGTGCCCTGCAAACAAATGTGGATAGGGAAATCACTTAAAATAACATAAAAATTAAAAATACAGCTGAGCCATAAAATAGCACTAGATGGTATCTTTGATTTTAGCTTTGGAAGAACATAAAGCAAAATCTAAAGCATGGCTGTCAGGAGGATCACCAGAATTATCCATTTGAGAGAGGGTTGGAGTGCAGGGTATTCTCTTTCATTGTTCAAACTGAGCTCAACTCCTGATGCATGGAGAAAAGGCCTTCACAAGCCTCTGCTAATGTGTACCTAGTTTATACTAAGTGACTCATAGGTTGAGGAGGCGGAGACTCTGGTGGTGGAAGAGGAGGAGGATGAGGTAGCCAACACTGTTATTTATGTTATTTTTTTTTTTTTTTTATTAGGGTAGCCCACAAAATATTGGGACATACAAAAAAAGAAACATTTGCGGCCTGCGGTGCATTTCTTGCAGTCCTGATGCATGGAGAAATGCTCAACTCCTGATGCATGGAGAAAAGGCCTTTACAAGCCTCTGCTAATGTGTACCTAGTTTATACTAAGTGACCCATAGGTTGAGGAGGCGGAGACTCTGGTGGTGGAAGAGGAGGAGGATGAGGTAGCCAACACTGTTATTTATGTTATTTTTTATTTTTTTTTAATTAGGGTAGCCCACAAAATATTGGGACATACAAAAAAAGAAATATAGACAACACTGTTTATATATATATATATAAATATATATATATATATATATATATATATATATATATATATATATAAATTTTAATTGGGGTAGCCCCCAAAATATTGGAAAATATAAAAAAAGACAACTCTGTTCCGCAGAGTAGCTGTTGACATTATAGTTGCGCAGGAACTTTGTTGACTCTAGAGAATCCAGTTTGGCAGTTTCTGCGCCTAATATGGTGACCACGGGTAACGGGGAATCAGGGTTCCATTCCATACAGGGACCCTGAGAAACGACTACCACGTGCAAGGAAGGCAGCAGGCGCGCAAATGACCCACTCCCGATGCGGGAAGGTAGTGACGACAAATAACAATACAGAACTCTTTAGAGGCCCTGTAATTGTAATGAGTCCACTTGAAATCCTTTAACTCTGATCAATTGGAGGGAAGTCTGGTGCAGAGCCACTGACCTGTGCGTGCTGAAACTCCACTATCACCTGCGGCTGCTCGCACAGTCTCATGAGGTGGTGAGCGGGAAGGCCGAAGTTACGCTGCAGAGCAGACAGGCGAGCAGCAGCAGGGTGACAATGCCAAAAGCGCACAGCCGCTACAGTGAATGTCACATCCTGTTCCAAGTTGCGGATAAGTCTGGTGATGGCTTCTGGTATCGAGTACCTTTTTTACTGAAGCTGCATCAGGGTCCTGCTATGTGGCCGCACAGACGCTGGTCCTCAACACCAGGGGGCGTGCAGTTACCCTGCACCAGACCCTGCTAATCCATTCCACACTGTGACTCCTAACTTCAACATCAGGCATACTGGGTCCCGGTCATTCGACCGCCGCCCAGACAGTGTCTGGGTCCTGGTCACTGGACTGCCCACCTGACTGTGAAACTACGAATGGATCGTTATATCTGGTACAAACCCGAACTTTGCAGTTTGGGTTCGCTCAACTCTATTATGGATACTTTGATCGCTACATGTATTACTTGGATAACTGGTAATTCTCGAGCTAATACATGCCGATGAGCGCTAGGGGACGGCCGCTCCGCTTTTGCACCCTGCTCCCTCTTATGCTGTGCTGGTGCCTCTGTGTGACCAGCGCCTCTTCCTCCAAACTGCACACGTCACTCGCATGACCTTGATTCCATGTGGGGTCTAGGACCTCATCATTCTCCACATCATCTTCCACCCACTCCTCAACTCTGCCCTCCTTGCCAGTATGCACACTGCAGAAAGCCACAGAAGTTGGCACCTGTGTTTTTCTAGCATGTAAAGTCTGCAAAGGACATTTGGAAATTGTTTTAGAATTTCCTCCAGGCAACAGTTTTCCCTATAAACGGACCTCTCAGTTTGACTTGTGAGGGTATTGCCCCAGAATTACAATATTGTTGAAGTAACTCTTAGCTATTGATCCCTGGTTTAAACATAGCAGCTTGTTATCTGGTAGTTTCTAGTGTAGAAAATATCAATTTGTTTTCTATCACAGATCTGTGTAACAAGTGTTGTAGGTGTGAAACAATATTACAAGTGACCGATGTAGTAAATGCGAATAAAAGTTATGCTTCGCTTTGACTCTCAGATATGAAGTGAACACCCCAAACATACTATTTAGCGCCCCAAAAAATTGACTTTTTAAAACTCCAATGTAAGCAGCAGATTAGCAGCAAAACAATTAGAATGTTTACAACTGTGCAGTAAGCGCACTATTTGACGCTTCTATTTGACTCTCACATATGAAGTGCACCGCAGGCCGCAAATGTACTATTTAGCAGATTAGCAGCAAAACAATTAGAATGCTTACAACTGCGCAGTAAGCACACTATTAGACGCTTCTATTTGACTCTCAGATATGAAGTGCTCTCCCCAAAATGTACTATTTAACAGTTTAGCACCAAAACAATTAGGATATTTACAACTGCGCTGTAACCCCAGTATTAGACGCTTCTATTTGACTCTCAGATATGAAGTGCAAGCCCCAAAATGTACTATTTAGCAGATTTGCACCCAGAAAATTAGAATGTTTACAACTGCGATGTAACCGCAGTATTTGACGATTCTATTTGACTCTTCGATATGAAGTGCACGCCCAAAATGTACTATTTAGCAGATTATCAGCAAAACAATTTGAATGTTTACAAGTGCTCTGTAAGAACACTATTAGACGCTTCGATTTGACTCTCAGATTTAAGAGCAGGCCCCAAAATTTACTATTTAGCAGATTAGCAGCAAAACAATTAGAATGTTTACAAGTGCGTTGTAAGCGCAAAATTAGACGATTCGATTTGACTCTCAGATATGAAGTGCACGACCCAAAATTTACTATTTAGCAGATTAGAACCTAGAAAATTAGAATGTTTACAAGTGCGCTATAAGCGCACTATTAGATGCTTCGATTTGACTCTCAGATATGAAGTGCACGCCCCAAAATGTACTATTTAGCAGATTAGCACCCAGAAAATTAGAATGTTTACAAGTGCGCTGTAAGCGCACTATTAGATGCTTCGATTTGACTCTCAGATATGAAGTGCACGCCCCAAAATGTACTATTTAGCAGATTAGCACCCAGAAAATTATAATGTTTACAAGTGCGCTGTAAGCGCACTACTAGACGCTTCGATTTGACTCTCAGATATGAAGAGCACGCCCCAAAATTTACTATTTAGCAGATTAGCACCCAGAAAATTTGAATGTTTACAAGTGCGCTGTAACTGCAGTATTTGATGCTTCTATTTGACTCTCAGATATGAAGTGCATGCCCCAAAATGTACTATTTAGCAGATTAGCAGCAAAACAATTAGAATGTTTACAAGTGCTCTGTAAGCGCACTATTAGACGCTTCGATTTGACTCTCAGATATGAAGTGCACGCCCCAAAATTTACTATTTAGCAGATTAGCACCCAGAAAATTAGAATGTTTACAAGTGCGCTGTAAGCGCACTATTAGATGCTTCGATTTGACTCTCAGATATGAAGTGCATGCCCCAAAATGTACTATTTAGCAGATTAGCAGCAAAACCATTAGAATGTTTACAAGTGCGCTGTAAGCGCACTATTACACGCTTCGATTTGACTCTCAGATATAAAGATCAGGCCCCAAAATTTACGATTTAGCAGATTAGCAGCCAGAAAATTAGAATTTTTACAAGTGCGCTGTAAGCGCACTATTAGACACTTCGATTTGACTCTCGGATATGAAGAGCAGGCCCCAAAATGTACTATTTAGCAGATCAACAGCAAAACAATTAGAATGTTTACAAGTGCGCTGTAAGCGCACTATTAGACACTTCAATTTGACTCTCAGATATGAAGAGCAGGCCCCAAAATGTACTATTTAGCAGATAAGCACCCAGAAAATTAAAATGTTTACAATTGCGCTGTAACTGCAGTATTTGACACATCTATTTGACTCTAAGATATGAAGTGCATGCCCCAAAATGTACTATTTAGCAGATTAGCACCCAGAAAATTAGAATGTTTACAAGTGCGCTGTAAGCGCACTATTAGACGCTTCGATTTAACTCTCAGATATGAAGTGCACGCCCCAAAATGTACTATTTAGCAGATTAGCACCAAAACAACTAGAATGTTTACAATTGCGCTGTAACCGCAGTATTTGACACTTGTATTTGACACTTCTATTTGACTCTCAGATATGAAGTGCACGCCCCAAAAGTTACTATTTAGCAGTTTAGCAGCCAGAAAATTTGAATTTTTACAAGTGCGCTGTAAGCGCACTATTAGATGCTTCGATTTGACTCTCAGATATAAAGAGCAGGCCCCAAAATGTACTATTTAACAGATTAGCACCCAGAAAATTAGAATGTTTACAACTGCGCTGTAACCGCAGTATTTGACGCTTCTATTTGACTCTCAGATATGAAGAGCAGGCCCCAAAATGTACTATTTAGCAGATTAGCACACAACATCTTCCACCCACTCCTCAACCCTGCCCTCCTTGCCGGTATGCACATTGCAGAAAGCCACAGCAGTTGGCACCTGTGTTTTTCCAGCATGTAAAGTGTGCAAAGGACATATGGAAATTGTTTTAGAATTTCCTCCAGGCAACAGTTTTCCCTATAAACTCACCTCTCAGTTTGACTTGTGAGGGTATTGCCCCAGAATTACAATATTGTTGAAGTACCTCTTAGCTATTGATCACTGGTCTAACCAATTGCAGCTGGTTATCTGGTAGTTTCTAGTGTAGAAAATATCAATCTTTTTTCTATCACTTAGATCTGTGTAACAAGTGTTGTAGGTGTGAAACAATATTACAAGTGGCCGATGTAGTAAATGTGAATAAAAGTTACGGTTCGATTTGACTCTCAGATATGAAGTGAACACCCCAATATACTATTTAGCGCCAAAAAAATTTTTAAAAAAAAATTGACTTTTTAAAACTCCAATGTAAGCAGCAGATTAGCAGCAAAACAATTAGAATGTTTACAACTGCGCAGTAAGCGCACTATTTGACGCTTCTATTTGACTCTCACATATGAAGTGCACCGCAGGCCACAGATGTACTATTTAGCAGATTAGCAGCAAAACAATCAGAATGTTTACAACTGCACAGTAAACACACTATTAGACGCTTCTATTTGACTCTCAGATATGAAGAACAGACCCCAAAAAGTACTATTTAGCAGATTAGCACCCAGAAAATGAGAAAGTTTACCACTGCACTGTAAGCGCACTATTAGACGCTTCGATTTGACTCTCAGATATGAAGTGCAGTCCGCAAATGTACTGTTTAGCAGATTAGCACCAAAACAGTTAGAATGTTTACAATTGTGCTGTAACCGCAGTATTAGACGCTTCGATTTGACTCTCAGATATGAAGTGCAAGCCCCAAAATGTACTATTTAGCAGTTTAGCACCAAAACAATTAGAATGTTTACAACTGCGCTGTAACCACAGTATTAGACGCTTCTATTTGACTCTAAGATATGAAGAGCAGGCCACAAAATGTACTATTTAGCAGATAAACACCCAGAAAATAAGAATGTTTACAACTGCGCTGTAACCGCAGTATTAGACGCTTCTATTTGACTCTCAGATATGAAGTGCATGCCCCAAAATGTACTATTTAGCAGATTAGCACCCAGAAAATAAGAATGTTTACCACTGCGCTGTCAGCACACTATTAGACACTTCGATTTGACTCTCAGATATGAAGTGCACCCCACTAAAATACTATTTAGCAGTTTAGGACCCAAAATGTTTTTAAGTTTTAAAACTGCAATGTGACAGCAATATTTGACACTTCTATTTGACTCTCAGATATGAAGTGCACCCCACTAATGTACTACCCTGCTAATGTACTATTTTGCACCAAAAATAATTTACTTTTTAAAACTCAGATGTAACAGCGGTATTTGAAGCTTCTATTTGACTCTCAGATATGAAGTGCAGCCCACCCCACTAATGTACTAGTTTGCAGAATTCTTTTCTAAGCTGTCAGCGGCAGCATCCTCTCCCTACACTAATAAGACCG